TTTAATATTTCTAGGCTATGAGGTTTGTTTGTCAGTTCCTAAACACTGTTTGTTTGTTTGTTTTTTGTGGTACTGAGGATTGAACTCAGGACCTTGCACTTAACAGTTCCTAAACATTGTTGAAACTGAGTGTGATGGCAGACTCCTGTAATCCTAGCACTCGAGAGGCTGAGCCAGGAGCATCATTGTAAGTTCAAGACCAGGCTAGGTTGCAAAGTGAGCTCAAGGCCGGCCTGAGTTATGTAGGGAAACCCTGCCTTAAAAAGACCAAAAAACAAAAAGAAAAACCTAGAAGGGCTGGCCAGATAGCTCAACAGACTAAAGCACCTACTCAGGTAGAGCATAGCGGCTGGGGTTCAATCCTCGGCCTGCTGTGCCGGCCCCACCATGATTGAGACTGGGCGTGATGGTGTGTGCCTGTAATCCCAGCACTTGGGGGGCTGAAAACAGGAGAATAGCAACAAGTCTGAACTACGTAGTGAGACCTTGTAGACCCTGTAGACCATGTACCAAATACATAAAAAACAAAAACCCAAAAGCCAAAATTGTTGAAAAGCCTTGTGCAAAAGTGATCCCATGAAATTTACACCCATGGTCTCCATGGACAGACTGCATTCTGTATCTACATAGTTTTTGCAAAAATAAATAACTAAATAATAATAAAATAAATCTGAGATTTTTGTCACCCCTTCCAGGCCAGAGAGAGCAGAGGCGCTCACCAGCCTCCAGCCTGAGCCCATGTTCCAGGCTTCAGAGATGAGTGCTTGCAAAGCTTTCTGTGCCAAGCTGTGGAAGTGTGCATCTCAGTGGCTGAGCACTAGATGCTTATGGCAAGAGGCTTGGGCAGAAGTCCCAGTTCTGTCCCTTCTAGTAATGGCACCTACCTCTTAGGGTATAAGGATTAACTTAAAAAAAAAAATTCATGGAAAAAGTTTGGCAATCTCCATGAATGGTAAATTCCCAGAAAGCATTTGTTTTTATCATCAACCATGTGTGACCCAGAGGCAATTTACTTAATCCCCATAAGCCTCAATTTCCTCATCGATAAAGTGAGAATAACTAATACCTAATCAAATAATGTATGTAAAATACTCAGCAGAGTACCCGTCATTTACTAAGCCCTCAATAAATGGTATCAAGTGTTTCTTTTAATGTAATTAATAAATCCCTGCTCAGCTTCTCAGCAATTGTCCTGAAGCATCTGGTCCTTGGCCAAAACCACACTCATCACCCTTTGCCGGTTTTGCTTAAACTAATCCCAGTTCAGCTGTTTACTTTTTTATTATTTTTTAATTTTTAATTTATTTATTTATTTATGTGTGTGGGGGGGCCCAGCTCAGCCCACCAGGGGGCGGGGCTGGCTGGCATGTGGTGCTGGAGGATTGAACTGTGGTCCCTGTGCTTTGCTAAGCTTGTTCTAAGTAGGTGCTTTAGACCACTGAGCCATCTCACCAGCCCCACCAGTTCAGCTATTTAATACTGTTATTTAAACCCACAATCTCCTGCCTGTGGAGCAGACTGATGGTAAGAGTCACTTGTGTCCAAGGAAAATGTGGTTGGCCTTATCGCAGTGTAGAGCAAAGGTCACTCTGGGCTGGGGGAGGGGTGGTTTCTTTTATAACATCTTGATTCAGTAGCATCAAAAATCAAATAAAAGGGCTGGGGAGATGGCTCAGTGGAATAAGCGTTTCCCTGGCAAGTGCAAGGGCCTGAGTTCAATCCCCGGTTCCGCCAATAAAAAAAAAAAAAAAAGGCAAAACAAAACAAAAATCAAATAAAAGAAACATCTCTGACTGTCTGGTTTGTCTTAAGTATTGTCTAGGACGTGGGAGAGAAGACTTGCTCTTTCTGCCAGTACTCACTGTCTGCTGTCAGCCAGGGACTCAGCAAGATGGAGAGCACAAGCAAAGCCAGCCCCTCAGGGAGGGCAGTCAGCTGAGGGAGTCAGATTGTAAACAGAGATTACTCAGCCTGAAGGCAGCATGAAGAGGCACTCTTGGGTGCTGAAGGCGAAGGAATGCAGGAAACTCAGCCAAAGGGGAAGGCAAAGAAGCCCAGCAGGAGGAAAAGCCTGGGCTGAGCACCAACTTGATCCTAAGTGGCCCAGGAGGGGAGAAGTTACACAGCCAAGGCCTGCAGGTGGGAGGCAGAGCCACTAACCCGAGGACGAGGACGCGAGCAGTCTGCTGCAATGGGGGCATGAAGTCTGGCAGAAGCAGTAGAAGATGGGTGTGGAGTGGCTACTGAGGCCAAGTTTATCAGGGCTTTGTTTGTCATGCTGACGAGTTTACCCTTGACCTGAGGAATGAGGCGTAATAAAGGATTAGCTGGGAGCCCAGCATTCTAGGAAGAACACTATGATACCTGGCAGATGGCATCTCCGCGATGGATCTGCTCGGCAGCTGGAGTCAGGAGGGGCCTGGGCGTTGGACCCAAGACAGCAGTGCCAGGGCAGAGAGGAGATGTGATGCTAGCAAAACTCCCTTGAGTGATGGGGTGCGATACAGGAAGGCTGAAAGGGCTGTGGGGCTCTGTTCCTTTCTCTGAGGGATTTAAAAGTTTTGCTGGGAAACAGGAAGTGGTAGTACAGGGTCCTATCCTGGGAGCAGACAAGAACAGGAAAAAAATCTTTTACTAAGTCGCCCTTTGTATTCTGGATCCTGACTACATTTCCCATTCAAAAGTTAATAAAATTAGAACATAACAGCAGCACAGGTGGCAAATGCCAAGCTAGAAAGGTAAAGTTCTCTGTGAGCTCAGTGAGGGTTTCAAGGCAGAAATGGCGATTCAGGGGAGGGTTACAGTCCCATCCTGGGGGTTGAGCTATGCTGGGGTCAGCACAGGGCTGCTTGAACAAGGTGCTGGGGGCTGTGGAAGTGTTGTGGCCAACCTCACACAGAGGGCTGCAGAACGGGGTCCGGACCTACCTTCTGCAGGAGGACTCTCCGGCTGTTCCAGGTCACACCAACTTCTTCATCCTGGCCCTTCCTTGTGGCCCCTTGCAGTGGGGTTTGTCTCTGCTCCTTATATTCCCCTGGAGAAAGGAAACCAGGGTTAAGCTGAGCTCCCCAAGTCATCTATTCTCTCAATATAACCTGGAAGCCTAAGGCTTTCTCTGCAGTTCCTGAAGGTACTAACCACATCCTGAAAAGAAACGAGACACCTATGATTAGGCTTGGCAGTTGGCAGTCGGGACTCACTCTGTTTGCTCAGTTTGCAGGCAACAAAGAGACAAGCAACCCAGTGGAACCCACAGGAGCTTTGGGATTAAGGATTCCTGCTCTCTGCATAGGAGACGATTCCCACAAGTGTGATTAATAAGGGCAGAGAGGTCACCCTGCCACTAGCCTTCGATAAGAAGAGCCCCTACTATTTGTCAAGTGCAGGGCTTTATAGGACTCCATCTCCTGCTGATCTCCTGCCCCTCAGGGCTTAACAGCTGGCCTCCAGGGTTGCTGGCAAGTACTCCCACAGCCTCACCCACTCACGCCCCGCCTGCTGCTGCTGGGCATTAGCTCCTGAGACCTTTTCCTCCACCCATCCTTGGGCTGCCACTCTGCTGGGTGATGATGAGAATCCTCTTCTGGGACGCCTTGAGCAAAGCTTGGCCACCAGCCGGAACATGAGCTTCTCACATCAGTATAAGGAATAGATTCAGGGTCTATCCGACTGCTGATTACCTCCCATTGTATACAGTATTGCAAAGTAACTTTACAGTATGGCAAGTCAGCATGAAAAACATTTTTAAACAGACCAAAATAGGATGGAAAAGGAAATACCAAAGTATAGTATATTTAAAATGGATGAGTATTATTTTATTAAATTTTCATTTTAGCTATTATGAATACATGCAGAATGTACCAGAAGTCTTAGTGTAGGCTTGAACTTTTAATAACTTTTGAAGCATGAATGCTGTGTTTAACAAAGCATATCATTGAAAAGTTTTAAATTTCTTTTACTTAGTCTTTTGAATTTTGAATAAGCAACTTTTACTTTAACATTCATTTTAGTCTAATGAAGATGACAAATATTACTTGATATAAAACACTGAAAATTTATTATGCAAAATTCCTAAAACTACCCAGGTGTGCTGGCCACACCTATCACACCTATAGGCTCAGCTTTTAGGGAGGGTGAAGTAGGTTAGGAGGGTTTGAGGCCTCAGCTGGGGTCAGCCTGGGCAACAGCCTCCCCCAGGGAACTGTATGCTTATAGAACACCTACTATGTGCTGGACTTCAGATGAAATGACATAGCCTTTCAGGCTCAGGAGTTCAAGTCCTAGGAGAAGAGATGCCTCTGACCAAAGCAGGCTGCCCTACAGGTAGAAGTCAAGGGAAATCCGGTCAGGGCTGGAGCTATGGCTCAATGGTAAAATACCCACCTAGAATGCAGAAAGCCCTGGGTTTGGTCCTCATTGCTAGAGAAACAAAACAAACAAAGCAAAACAAAATACACAAAACAGGAAGCTAAGGGGCAGGGAGAAGTTAATTCTGCTAGATCTGAGAAGGCTTTCTAGAGAAGGCTAGGAAACATAAAGGGATGAGACTGTATCACTGGCTTTTTAACTTCTATGACTGGAAAAGAAGATATTTCAAAGGGCATATGGACTCCTTTTTATCATCTGGCAAAGTCTAGCAATGTTTTTTTGTTTTTTTTTTTTTTCCGGAACTGGGGATTGAACTCAGACCCTTGCGCTTGCCAGGCAAGCGCTTATTCTACTGAGCTATCTCCCCGGCCCCTAGCAATGGTTTTTGCACACAGTAAGTGTTCCTTAAACTTGTGCTAAATGAAATGAGGCACCAGAGGTTAACTTAAATGTTAAGTACTGACTTCACTAGATAATGTTTTATCATTTTAGGGACAGGATCTCACTAAGGAGTAGAGGCTGCCTTGAATTTACGCTTTTCCTGCGTCAGCTTCCTAAGTGCTGGGAGCACGGGCGTGCACCGAGCACTTGCCACAGCAAGCATCTGCGTTCTGCTCTGTTCTGCTGTTACACATCGGCTTGCCCTCTTGACTAGCTCTGAGTACAGTTCCTTCATTTATGGGTGAGGCTAGCTTGGTGAAATGACTTCACTGGTGACACACAGCCAGTGGCTTCCAGGAGCAGAACTGTTTCCCAATTCCCAGCCCATGGCCCCTTGGAGGTCACACAGGCACTGTGCTCTCTTGAGTCCCTCCAGACCACCCAATGGCACCTGCTCTCCTCCCAGCTCCCACCCAGCAATTCAGATGCTTTAAACCTGTGGAAACTGGGAAGTCAAATGTGAAAGCCAGTGTCAGCCACCTGGAACACACCCTTGCTGGCCAGGTGGCCTCTTTATAACAAAGTTTCTTCCTGTTTATTGGGGAGACGTGGCAGCCAGGAAGCAAACTGTCACCGCCATCACCACAGGGATGTTTGCTCAAGTTACTCAGAGTTGAGCTTAAGACCTCTTCGAAAAGCAAAGTGAGATGTCACTGCTCTTGCTGAGGGCAGAGGTGTGTGGAGCTGGGCACGATGCCAGGGAGTGAGCAGGTTCGCTGGAGTTGCTGGTGGGAGAGGGGACTGCAGGGCTGTCTTGCCAAATGATTGTCCTTTGTTCCCCACCAACACCTGTTCTTCGTAAGACACAGGGTTTGCTCCCACAGTCCTGCTGTGAGGAGGCCCAAGTTACCTCCTCAAAAGCTCTTTCTTACCTCTGATCCTTTGACCACAGAAGACTGGGAGATTTTTCATTTTCCCTCATAATTATACCTTCAAGACACTTTACCTTTTCCCCCAGATAAGACCTGCAGTACTATAGTTTATTTTCCCAGAAAGATGCACTGGAAGTTATTTTGTAATCAAGCTATTAAAAATTTGCAGAGCCCGGGAGATGGCTCAGTGGAATAAGTACTTACCTGGCAAGCACAAGAGCCTGAGTTCAATCCCCGGTCCCACCAAAAAAAAAAAAAAAAATTCCCCCAGGCTGGGCATGCTGGGAGGCTAAGGTAGAATAATTGTGAGTTTGAGGCTAGCCTAAACTATACATAGTGAGTTCAAGGCCAGCCTGAACCACATAGTGAGACCCTGTCTCAAAAATAAATAAAGAAAGAAAATTTCCCTAGCACATCTAGAATAAATTTCTGTTTATATAAGATGTTAAGCTGAAATTATCCAAACATGAATTTTCAACAGAAAAACCTAACCCAACTTTGTTCACCACTGACTACCCAGATTAATGTTTGGCAAGATAACAGGTGCTCACTAAATCTTTTTATATTATATTAAGCAAAAGTCACTGAAAATCAAAACAAAAGGTGGCCAGATATGAAATTCAGCAGTCCACAGGCTTTCCCCCAGAGGATTTCCAGGCCTAGTAGGGCAGGGGTATGCCAGTGCTTATCTCAAGAACTCTAGGGATGACAGAGGCTCCCAAGGAGGGATAAGGTAGGCTTCTCTAATTGCCTGGGAACCCTGAAGACGGCAAGGCTCAGCTTGAGAGAAGACAAAAAGAGGAATGGAAACTCAGTGTTACAATTTGCTGGCTGCAGGATGAGGTTGGGGCCAATGTCCAGATTGGAGGGGATGATGAAAGAGGGTAGAATTGGGGTTCTCCTTTCTCTACTTCTTTTTTTTTTTAAATTTTTTTACATTTATTGTGTGCGTGTGTGTGTGTCCAGCTCAGCCCACCAGGAGGCGGGGCTGGCTGGCATGTGGTGCTGGGGGATCGAACTGTGGTGCCTGTGTTTTGCTAAGCTTGTTCTAAGTAGGTGCTTTAGACCACTGAGCCATCTCACCAGCCCCTACATTTGCTCTTGACTGCAGAGCTTCCACCCAGGCTAACTGAATATGGAACCCGCCATACTGCGAACTTAGGGCCTCAGTGGCCCTGGCCTTCTCATTTTTGGGTTTACCCCAGGCCTACTCCCAAATCCTGCTGATTCACTCCCTGCCTCCAGTATCCTCTGCTTCCTCTCTACTCTCAATACCAGTCATCTGTGAGTAGGTCCTTATCAACCAGCATCTGAAGGATCAACAGCAGCTGCCTGACAGCCTACTCTGCCTCAGGCCTCTCTCCCCCTTTCATAATCAGAAAGCCAGGTTTATATTCCTTTTGACTGTGGCAGAAACCAAGGCTTGGACAGTCTGTGTCCTGTCTGTACTCACCCTCAAAGCCTGATGAGAAGCGTGGTACTGACTGTCTGTTCCCTTCAGAGTCCTGTCCTTAGCTCCTGGCTTAGCAGCCACATTTCCATTCTTTCACATTCTTACTCCTAAGACTCTTCTTCCAAGCAGCCTTCCTAGACGAAGGTATGGCTCACTGCTCCCAGTGTTTACCTGCTCCCAAGTTACATTCCCTACCCAAACTTTCTCACTGGAGTTTCCCCACAGGAGGAGGGTGAACCAACAGGCCCAGACACCCAGATCCCATTTTTTTCTCCTTTCTGATCCTTAATCCCTGTCCTCAAACTTGTGCATCCAGAATGCTTCTCCTGACTCATGGGCCTGGCCCCTTGTGCCTGCACCATCCCTCTGGCCTGAGGTGTGTAGCTAGGCCACTTCCTGCCTGTCTAGGCCTTGCTTTCCATTACAGACAGAGCTGAAGGTGAGGACTGGGCTTCTTCCTTCCTTCAGATTTCCACCTGGGACTGGGCCAGGTATAAGAGAATAACTCTACAGGGACCTCAGGTACTGTGAAAAAGTCTGCTAACAACCCCTTTTCTCCCGGGCCTGAACCTATCCTGTTCACCACACAAGCCTTTTTACACAGCACAATTACAGCATTGAGCTCCACAGAGAGACAGGCACTGCCCTGCACTTGACCTCTTGTTTATTCAAATTCCCATTCTCATCCCCATCAGAGGAGAAATGACATGTTGGGCCTTCCCAGAGAAGGGCAGGGGCTAGCTGAGAGGCCAAGTTCACGCAAGCTCTGGCCCAGCCATTCACATGTCCCTCTTGACCTGTATACACCCCGTCTGGTACTCACTTTCACTTCTGGAGCTGGGGATGTTGGAATATGTCATCAGATTCAAACTCCCGAGTTCCAGAAATCTGTCTCAGCTTCCCAAGTATCTGGAACTCCAGGTGCATGCCTCTGCAACCAGCTCTACTGCCACTTCCAATATTGCTGTTTACGTCAAATTGAGTCGCAGTTATCTGCTCTGTTTTACACAGAAGGAACCCGAAGCACAGAGAGGTTAATTTGACTAAGGTCACACAGCTAGGAAGCAGCAGAGGCAGAATTTGCACTCAGACCTGCAAAGCCCTCTCTCTTGCCATATCTTGCATTTATCTTTGGATTTTTGCCAAAGCACTTTCATCTACACCTTCTCATTTTCTCCCCACCCAGGGAGTGTTTATGTGAATTGGCCAAGGTTGTACTGCTAAATTAATGACAGAGCTGAGTCAGCCTCTGGCTCCCTTCACCGCCTTGGTCCTGACTGCACAGACAAAGCCGAGGGTCACATCTCCCACCCGGGTTGTTCCCAGCTGAACTTGGGTCAAGATGTCTCTGATCTCAGGCGCCTGACATACATGATCTTTTCAGGCCTGAGCTCTTCATGCCGCTTGGGGTGGGAGTCAGTCCTGCTGGTTGTGGGCTCTGATTACTCACTAGCCTACTATTTTTCACCATTCCACCAGCTCCAGACTTCCTTTTCCTTTGACAGACCTGTACTCCTCTCTGCCTCGGTGCTCCAAGAAGCAGTTTTCTCCTGTTACCTCTGGGTTCCTGAGGTGCATGGCATCACTGAGGATAGGGAGCTAGAGAAGGCCTGAGAGGATACTGGCTACTACTGTGGGATGAGGTGAGTGAAAGTATATTTCAAGGCCTCACTTACCTGTTCTAGTCTCTATATAAATTTGCCTGTCTCGTCCGTCTAGTCCTTCCTCTGATGGGCAGGGATGCCGCTCACCCTTAGCAGAGGAATACAGGGCTTGCACAGAGCAGGTTTTCTGGCGTATCCAGAGTTATTAACTTCACCTAGTGCCCACACATTGGGTGTGTGATCCGGGGTAAGCTACAGCTGGTTACTGCAGCAATGTAGCAGATTGTGTTCTAAGCTCTGCTGGCCAACTGATTGACAACACCGTGCACACACACAGGAGGGCCCTGTCCTGCAGAGCTCTAGGTCTAGGATGACTGGCCCTGGGGACAAGTAACAAACTGTTTCTCCTTTCTTTCTGGGTGAGGCTTGGAACAAGTGACAACAAAACCAGGAAGTTGGTGACAGTCACAGTCACATACACCCATCAGACCCCCTCCCACACAATACACACAACCACAGCCCACCCTCCAAAAGGCCCCAGTGTCCAGTGTCCAAGACTGGTCAACCGGGCAGGGCTCTAAGGGGACTCCCCCCACAGCCCCAAGAGAGGTTTCCTCTTACTTGTCCCTTCTGCTTAGGTGAGAAGTGGCACCAGCTGGAGGGAACTTCTCTGACTTTCTGCCCGGAACACATGGGGTGTCCCAACACGTGGTGGTGGGAACGTGCGGACTTGGGCTGGTAGGGGGCGAAGAGCCCTGAAGGAGGTGATGCGGCGGTGGGTCTCCCGCCCTTCAGGTTCCAAGGTCTGGGCTCCAGGCTCATCCCTTAGCTCCTTGAGCGCAAAAATGAAAGGGTCCTACCGAGGGAGGAGCTACAGGCCACAGCGCCGGCCGCAAAGAGCGCAGAAAGGAGGCACCACTGTGGCCCAGCCCCTTTCTTTTACTGTGGGGGCGACAGAACTCCGGGCTTCCCCGCTTACCTGGGCCGCCGAGGCTGCGCCGCCGCAGCCGCCGCTCGCGGACTCCCGACGGGACCGCAGGGAGGACGGCCGGGTGGGCGGGGCGGGCCGGGCCGGGGCGGGCTCTGCTGCCCGCGAGTCTCCAGCGCCGCGTGCTGCTAGCCTGGGGGCGGCTTCCGCAGACCCGGGGTGCAAGATGTTAGCGCTGAAACAGCGGAGGACACTGTCGCCCGACAGGCCACGGAGCAGCACTGCTGGGGCCGCGTCGTACCGCACGCAGCCGGGCCACAGCGTGGCGGGAGCAGCAGAGCACCGAGGCTCCGCCCGGGAGACCTGCGCGGCCGGGCGGGCGGGCGGGCGGGCGGCGGGCGAGGCCCCGGGGCTCGTCCGGCTTAGATTTCATTTTCAGGCAGGCCTGGGGCGGACGGCCCCCATCCCCCATCCAACAGGAGCTGGTTTTAACAGCGCGTGCCGTGAACTGTGTTTAGGGCTCCAAGTGCCAGGTTTCTGGAAACACCAGCTTCACTAGCAACTTACCGTTACTGGGAATATACGCGGAGGTGCTGATTCCGCAGCTCGCGATTCTCACGGTGTGGTTTCCCGGCCCGGCGCTATCAGCAGGACCTGAGAGCGTGCTACAGAAATGTAGATTCAAGTTCCACAGCACATAGATATACAGAGATGACCTCAAACTCTGGGGAAGGAGTCCAACAATTCGAGTTTTAGAAATCCGCCAGGTGAGCTGGGTGTGGTGAAGCAAACCTGTAATTTCAACACTCTGGGATGCTGAGGCAGGAAGATCACAAGTTTGAGCCCAGCCTGTATGATTTAAGGAAACTTTTTTTTTCGCCTAAGACACTGCCTCCCTCTGTAGCCCGGGCTGAATTCACTATGTAGCCGAGGGTGACCTAGAACTTGGGGCAATCCTCCTGCCTCAGCCTCCAGGGCACTGGGATTACAGGTATGGGTCACTACACCCAGATTATATATATGTGCCTGAGGATTTAGGTCAGTGCAAAGGCCTTGGGTTCAATCGCCAAGTGTAGAAAAACAGTCTTCCTGGTCATCCTGGCGTACATTCACCTTTGAGAATCTTTGAATGTATAGTGGTGGAGCTGGAATGACAATCTAAGATAGTTGTCCTGACCAGCACCGGGGGATGCTCAAGCCCTTTCCTGCCTTATGATTCTGTGATGTAACCTTGTGGGTCCTTAGTCTTGAGAAAAGACTGGAAAGGACTGGGAGCCATTTGAGGATCAACAGTTGAATGAAAAGGAACAATATTATTTTCTAATCTGGGACCTCATGGTAGAACTAAGCTATTTACTCTTGAGGAGGGGGGGGGGAGGAGGGGGAGGTATTCTGTGGTGAAGTCTGGAGAGATTTCCAGCAGAGTGTTTGAAGCAAAGTTTTCCCAGCTACACTAGATGAGGGGACAGGGGAAGAGACAATTTTAAGCATCAGGGGAGCCTGCTTCCCTCCCTTTCATGCTAGAAAGGAGGAAGGGGTTTAAGCTTCCAAAGACACATTTTCTCCTGAGCTTCCTGTTGTCTTCTTTAGCCCCTTTACAAACTCCTGGGTTGTTCTAACTCACTGTTCTTGTTCTTAAGACTTGCCTTAATATCTCTTTGCCCCAGGGCATTTCCTGCTGAAGATCATGGGATGCTGCCCCTCATTTCTCTTCTTGGGGCCTAAATGCTCCATGCATGAGTTTGACCTTTAGACATGTGATCCTTCCCCAGAACCCTGCCTGACCAGAGGTGAGTGCCTCGGTTCTTTCCCAGGGTGTGCTAGTAGCCGTTGAGCCCATCCGGAGCTTCTGAGAGACAGAGACGGTGCACAGATTCTGAGAAGCAGCATGAGTCTGGGACCTGGGCTTAACACTCTGGGAGCCCAGCACCCAGCCCGTTTCTCTTTAGCTGGCTTTAATATATGCGCTGCTGAGGCAAGCACTGATCTGGTTTTCAGCATGACTTTGAGTCCTCAGAATGATGAGCTATCTAGTTGGAAACACACGTGGTAGTACTACCCCATGTGTCATGCACTGAGCTATTCTTTCCTAGCGAGAAGGATGGTTGAGCTCCCTCCACTATCCTTAAGGAAGGTCTGGAAAGGAGCCACCGGACTAGCAACTGGCACCTTGGCTTACACTCCTGGCAGGCTACTTTAAATGGTGGTTTTCTGGGCTTAGAGTATAACTCTGTATAGAGTGTTTTACTAGCATCTGCAAGACACTGGGTTCAAGCCATAGGGTGTGAGAGATGTTCTTTAAGTGAAAAAGTAATATATGCATTTTATTTATTTATTTAGTTGAGACAGGGTCTCACTATGTAGTTCAGTTGGATTTGAACCCACCATGTAGCCCAAGCTGGCCTTGAATTTGAAGTGATTCTCCTGCCTCAGTCTCCTGAGTGCTGAGATTATAGGCATGTGCTACCACGCCCTGATTATATATACATTTTTTTTTTTAAAGCCAGGGACAGTGGAACATACCTCAAATCTAGCTATATGGAAGCCAAGGCAGGAGGATCATTAGTTCAAGGCCACCCCAAGCAACTTAATGAGATCTTGTCTTAAAGTTAAAGTTAAAAAGAGGTGGAGGACCAGGGATATAGCTCAGCAGCACAAGAGTCTGCCTGGAGAGCATAAGGTCCTGAGTTTGATTCCTTGAACAATAAAAAAAAACAAACCCCAAAACATTTGGCTATATATGGGAATGTGGCTCAGCACACCTGGATTGGGTCCCTGGAACCACAAATCAAAGAGTGAAATGTAGAATGAAAGTTACATTTCTTTCCTTTCTGGAGTTGCAGTCCCTCTCTTCAGAAATCATCTCTGCATGTTCATGAGTAGAACTCATTGTATCACTGAGCAGGACATGCATGGATTACTCTAGGTGCAAAGACCTAAGATGACCCCTTCTCAGAAAGTCTTATGAATTTTATTTTATTTTCTTACAGTCTCATTTTTCTTTCTTGGCCATTTTAGACTCCAGTTTTGGGTGTTCTGAATTTCATTTTGTGCCCCTGTGTGCTTCAGGGTTTTTTCCCACCTTCAGGCAGGAAGGGTGAGGAGCAGATCAGGTGAAGCTAGCTAGACAAGGTATCTGAGAGGCTGGTGACCTCAGCTCTGGCCCTTATCAAATCTCTTCTTTCCATGCTCTGCTCCGACTCTGGGGCAGAAGCAGGGAGACCCACCCTTCAGGGAGAGGTGCTGACCTCACTTATCCAGAATGTTTGCAGAGCTCTGAGGGCAGAGAGGCAGGAGGCTACCTGGGCCACTCCATCTGTCATTATCCCACTCCTCAAATAGTTGCAAAGCTCAAGTGAGATAACTGGATGTGAAAGTGTGATGCTTCCGGTCTTCTAAATTCGGTCTCTCTGCCTCTTCCTGTATTCATGCTTCCTCCTTCTCAGTTTATTCTAGTACCCAGAAGAGAAACAGTGAGCAAGAGATATTTTAAGAATCCAGAAAGAGCTTCTCCCAGTTCTTGTAGTCCCTCATGCATCACACTGCACTCACTTCTGTACATCTTAATTTCCTCATCTGTAAAATTGGTACGTTATTATTATTATTATTATTATTATTATTGGTTTATTAGGTAAGTAAAGTGCTTAGCACAGTACCTGGTGAACTATAAATACCAAGTATGACAATGTTAACCATTGCTGTTAGCTGTTTTCCTTCTCTGCTTTCTTCAGTTGGTTCTTCAATTATAGCCTGCAAGGCTGGGGAGATAGCTCAGCAGGTACAAGTGCCAGCCTGGCAAGTGCAAGGTCCTGAGTTTGAGCTCCAATACTGACAAAAGCAAAAAACACACACACACACAAAAAAAAACACACACACACAAAAAAAAGAATTATACCCTGCAGCGCATTAGCAGGATAAAATAGATAAGCCATGGGGGAGGAGACTGATAAATGTAAAATTTGGGCCAGAGCCCATAAAGCAAATGGGATTTTTTTTTTGTTGGGGGGAATTCTTTTCTTTCTTTTTTTTTGTGTGTGTTTTAGGAAAGGGTGTACAGGGTGTTCAGGGTCTCACTACTAGATCGGACTCATAGTGATCCGCCTGTTTACAGCCTCCCAAGAACTGGGATTACAGGTGTGTGCTACCACGCCCAGTCTCAATCACTGTCTCAGTGTACCCCAGGGGTGGGGCCAGCACGGCACGCCTGGGGACTGAACCCCCCCAGCCCCTGTGTCTGCTTGCAGGCACTTTAATCCACTGGGCTATTTGGCCAGCCCAGCAAATGGGATTTTTGCCATGTCTGTAAAATTTACAGAGACACAAAATACTCACTAATTCAGATACATAATACTTTAATGTAATTTTAATTACATCTGCAATGCTGGCTTTGTTTGCGGTACTAGGGACTGCTTGCAGAGCCTTTGCACTGAGCTATATCCCCTATGTTGCTATTTTTAAATTTTTAAGACAGGGTCTCACTAAATTGCCAGGGTACCTGGGCTGGGCTCAAACTTGTGATCATTCTGCCTCAACCTCCTAGGGGAATGCTGGGATTATAGGCATGTACCACTACCCCTGGCTAATGCAATATTCTAAAATCCAAATCAAGGGCCGCAGAGATGGCTCAGTGGAATAAGCGCTTCCCTGGCAAGCGCAAGGGCCTGAGTTCAATCCCCGGTTCCGCAAAAATAAATAAATAAATAAATAAATAAATAAATAAATAAATAAATAAAAATAAAATCCAGATCAGGGCTGGGGATGTAGCTCAGAGGTAGTGATAGGATCCAGCCCAAGTACAAACTGATAAATTGTGGCCTTGATTCAACATGGCTGAATCCCCAAAACAACAGTTTATCTTCCCAATGACCACTTCCTCCTTCTTCCCCACCCAAGTCCTGGATACCTTTCCCACACAAACAAGGGAGCCCCTAGTCAGTTCCTTGTGCATCACTGAACTGGCCCCTCAAACTCCACCTCTAGCTAAAGCCCATAAAACCTCAGCCTTCCCCTCTCAGGTTAGAGGATCCCCCTCCATCTCTCTCAGACCCTCTCTGTGTTTTCCTCAATGGCAATAAAGGCCTTTCCCTTTCTTTCTTTTACTTCTGCTTCTTTGCCACACAGAAAAACCTAACAGGTAGAGTACATGCTTAGCCTACCAACTTCCTGGAACTCAACAGGAGAAGGGAAGATGTCTGGGAGGAAGGTTTAGGAGGGCTTTTGAGGTTGGCTGTGGTT